TGAAATAAAGGTGATTTAATGTGTTTTCCTCAATTCAACCTCAATTTGGAATGATTATTTTCACGTAAACTAGAAGCAGAATATTTTAATTACAAACTATTTAATAATCCCCATCTCTCTCCCTCCTTCCTTCTCTCTCTCCATGTTTCTCTCTTTTCTATCTACCTCCAAGCGTCTTGTTGTTTCTCTTTTCTCTCTTTACGGCTCATACTGTGTGGACATCAGCACAAATGGATTGGTTCCTGGTCCCTGAGCTCTGCAGCAACTGTACACACACACGCACACACACGCACACACACACAAACTTAATAAGGCCTTTAGTGTGTGTTGTGTGTCATTATATTGACGAATAGTTAACAAGCAGGAAGCAATACTGTTCAAATGGATGGATTAGCACTAGCAACCAAATAGTTGGTCGTGCACATACTGTATAAGAAGGTTGGACAAATACTATCGGACTGAGTACACGTGTAATGTCAGTACAGGCAAATCATATAGAGTATTATTTTAATTTGGTCAATGCATATATCCAGATATACGTAGTAGTAGTAGTAGCAGTAGTAGTAGTAGTAGTAGCAGTAGTAGTAGTAGCAGTAGTAGCAGTAGTAGCAATAGTAGTAGTAGCAGCAGCAGGAGTTGTAGTGGTAGCTGTAGTAGTAGTAAATGTAGTAGTAGTAGTAATAGCTGTAGTAGTAGTAGTAATAGCTGTAGTAGTAGTAGTAATAGCTGTAGTAGTAGTAGTAGTAGTAGTAGTAGCAACAGCAGCAGCAATAGTAGTAGTAGGAGTAGTAGTAGCAGTAGCAGTTGTAATAACAGCAGCAGCAGTAGTAGCAGCAGCAGTTGTAGTAATAGCTGTAGTAGTAGGAGTAGCAGTAGTAGCCGTAGTAGTAGAAGCAGTAGTAGTAGCAGTAGTAGTAACAGCAGTAGCAGCAGTAGTAGCTGCAGCAGCAGTTGTAGTAATAGCTGTAGTAGTAGGAGTAGTAGCAGTAGTAGCAGCAGTAGTAGTAGTAGTAGTAGAAGTAGCAGTAGTAGTAGTAGCAGCAGCAGTAGTAGTAGTAGTAGCAGTAGTAGCAGTAGTAGCAGCAGTAGCAGTAGTAGTAGCAGTAGTAGTAGTAGTAGTAGTAGCAGTAGTAGTAGTAGTAGTAGTAGTAGTAGCAGTAGTAGTAGTAGCAGTAGTAGTAGTAGTAGTAGTAGCAGTAGTAGTAGTAGTAGTAGTAGTAGTAGTAGCAGTAGTAGTAGTAGTAGTAGCGTAGTAGTAGTAGCAGTAGTAGTAGTAGTAGTAGTAGTAGTAGTAGTAGTAGTAGTAGTAGTAGCAGTAGTAGTAGTAGCAGTAGTAGTAGCAGTAGTAGTAGTAGTAGTAGCAGTAGTAGTAGTAGTAGTAGTAGCAGTAGTAGTAGTAGTAGTAGTAGTAGTAGTAGCAGTAGTAGTAGTAGTAGTAGTAGTAGAGTAGTAGTAGTAGTAGTAGTAGTAGTAGTAGTAGTAGTAGCAGTAGTAGTAGTAGTAGCAGTAGTAGTAGTAGCAGTAGTAGTAGTAGTAGTAGTAGTAGCAGTAGTAGTAGTAGTAGTAGCAGTAGTAGTAGTAGCAGTAGTAGTAGCAGTAGTAGTAGTAGTAGTAGTAGCAGTAGTAGTAGTAGCAGTAGTAGTAGTAGCAGTAGTAGTAGTAGTAGTAGTAGTAGTAGTAGTAGCAGTAGTAGTAGTAGTAGTAGTAGCAGTAGTAGTAGTAGCAGTAGTAGTAGTAGTAGTAGTAGTAGCAGTAGTAGTAGTAGCAGTAGTAGTAGCAGTAGTAGTAGTAGTAGTAGTAGTAGTAGTAGCAGTAGTAGTAGTAGCAGTAGTAGTAGTAGCAGTAGTAGTAGTAGTAGCAGTAGTAGTAGTAGTAGCAGTAGTAGTAGTAGTAGTAGTAGTAGTAGCAGTAGTAGTAGTAGTAGTAGTAGTAGTAGTAGTAGTAGTAGTAGTAGTAGCAGTAGTAGTAGTAGTAGTAGTAGTAGTAGTAGTAGCAGTAGTAGCAGTAGTAGTAGCAGTAGTAGTAGTAGTAGCAGTAGTAGTAGTAGCGTAGTAGTAGTAGTAGTAGTAGTAGCAGTAGTAGTAGTAGCAGTAGTAGTAGCAGTAGTAGTAGTAGTAGTAGTAGTAGCAGTAGTAGTAGTAGCAGTAGTAGTAGTAGTAGTAGTAGTAGCAGTAGTAGTAGTAGTAGTAGTAGTAGCAGTAGTAGTAGTAGCAGTAGTAGTAGTAGTAGTAGTAGTAGCAGTAGTAGTAGTAGCAGTAGTAGTAGTAGTAGTAGTAGTAGTAGTAGTAGTAGTAGCAGTAGTAGTAGTAGTAGCAGTAGTAGTAGCAGACTGTTGTTTTCAAAAAAGCTTTGTGATTCTTATTCTTTTGAAGACTCCTGTAGCAGATGTCATTATTGTTCACCTCTCTGCGGCGTTTGCATCTTATCGGACAGAGGTCGTGATGGGGTCACAAGGAGGCAGGTGGTGGAGTCAAAGGTCACGATAATCTCCCTCTGAAGCCGATCACTCATTATTCTCCACGTCACCTCCGGCTCTGTCTGCTCTCCCCGCCGGCCAAACACGTGTCCTGATGTTCACTGATGGTTTCTGTCAACGGAGAGGGAATAAAATCACTAGTTTTTCAATCGATTTTCTAATCTCCTAATGTATCATCTTTATTTCATTTAACATCTTTTTGACTCACTTCATATTATTAGGGATGTTGGTCATTGGATAAATAAGACAATGTTTGAAATAAAATTAATCTTGCATCGCATGAATCATCGCATGTTGAGGTACTATTTTCTCATATATCAGTCCGCCGCTGCCGAGCTTTCTATCAGGAAGTACAACTCGCTGCTGCTGCTCAGACATAAATCATTCAAATGCAAGGTTTGTTTTACTTTTTAAATTATTCTATCAACACAGACATTCACATGGACAGTCTGGTGTAATAATAGATTTTGATTTTAGATTTTTGTGGAGTGGGTAAGACTGTTTTTAGCAGCAGGATAACTATGGCCATGGACATGCACTAGCCTAGCACCAGCGACCTCTGCAAATACAAGGACTTGATGGAATATTTACATGTCTCCAACACTCTGGCTCAGTAGGAAATGAGGCCCTATGTCCAAAATTCAGAACTGTCCCTTTGAATGAAGAGTTATGGTGCAGCAATAGCTAAAAAAAAGACAGAGGGAACTTCATAAACCATGATCCTTTGCTCCGTATAGAGTGCAAGAAGAAATAATAGTTCTAAGCACTTTTAAATATTAGTTCTTTGGATTAAGTCTTGTCAAGGCATTTTAAGAGGAAAAAGTAGCATAGTAACAGTTTTGTTTGCCTCTATAAAATATCGCAATAAATACCAAACTGTAAGATGCATATTGTGAAAATATTGTTATAAAGAGATTTGGATATTGTTACATCCCTAATCGTGAGCCTCCCCACCATATCATGAGCTTTCCCATAATATCGCAATAAATATTGTATCGTGAGGTTCATACCATGACGATATTGTGTCATAATACTTGGGGGAAAAAAATGTATATTAAGTGCTGGACCTAATAATTAATAAAGTAGTAATAAGTAATAAACTTGGAAAAAAAAAATGCAGCCTTTGTGATTTGCCAATGTAACATCTATTCAAATTGTGATTTCAATTCAGTTGCAGTTAATTTATCAGTTCTAATGGACAGATATCTAGAATAATGCCAGCCTGAAATGTTAATAATAAACCTGGCCACAAAATGAAGGATAAATGTTTGAGTGTAATGACAGATCACAGGTTCCTGAGCTGTGTGCAGTCAGATGTTGGTCGATGAAACAAATCCTGTTTCAACAGTCTCTCCCTGGCCTCTCCCGTCTGTTTGGGGTTTTGCATAAATCAATAAGAAGCCTATAATTCATTCTAGAGTCACAGGGTTTACACTCAGACCAGCCCCAGAGGTCAACATCTGACACAACATGAGGTCTGTCATGTTTAGACCGGGTTTAGACCTGGTGTAGTCCTGGTTTAGTCCTGGTTTAAACCTGGTTTAGACTTGGTTTAGTCCTTCTGTAGATCCTAGTGTAGATCCTGGTTTAGTCCTGGTTTAGACCTTGGTTTAGACCTGGCTTACATCTGGTTTAGCCCTGGTTTAATCCTGGTTTAGATATCATTTAGCCCTTGTGTAGATCCTGGCGTAGATCCTGGTTTAGTCCTGGTTCAGTCCTGGTTCAGTCCTGGTTTAATCCTTGTGTAGATCATGGTTTAGAACTGGTGTAGATCCTGGTTTAGTCTTGGTTTAGTCCTGCTTTAGTCCTAGTTTAGACCTGGTTTAGACCTGGTTTAGACCTGGTTTAGACTTGGTTCAGTCTTGGTTTAGACCTGGTTTAGTCCTGGTTTATACCTGGGTTAGTCCTGGTTTAGATCTGGTTTAGTCCTTGTGTAGATCCTGGTTTAGTACTGGTTTAGGCTTGGTTAAACCTGGTTTAGTACTGTTTGGACCCTGGTTCAGTCCTGGTTTAATCCTTGTCTAGATTATGGTTTAGAACGGATTTAGTCCTGGTTTAGTTTAGTTTTTTTTTTCTTGTGTACAGCTGATTTAGTCTTAGCTTAGTCCTGATTTAGATCTGGTCTAGACCTACTTTAAGACCTGCTTTAGTATCTTTTTAGATCTGGCAGCAACACAAAACAGTGCATTCTGACAACACGACCTTTCTTGCATTTCTAAATATAAAACTCACGACTTTATTATCACCGACACACATTCTACATCCTGTCTCTTCAACGTCTATGCAAAACAAGCCCTCATATCGTCCAATCATCTCTCGTGAGGAGGAAGTAGCTGTTATGCTTTCATCGCACAGTGCTTCGGCTTGCAGGAAGAGAGCGCAAAAAGGAGAGGGAGGGAGAGACGGGGGGGGGGGGTCGCAGATGGGCGAGCGAGCCTGCAGCAAAGAGAGGAGAGAGAGAGAGAGGAGGAGGAACACGGCTGTGAGTGGGAGACATCATTCTACATTAAGGCGAGAGGAAAGCGGCGCTACAGATCTGCCTGGATGGACGCATTGGAAGCCAGCGTTTGTCCTGGAACGGGGATTTTATGAAGAAATCTGCAACTGTGATTTGGATGCATTTTTTATTTTTTTTTTGCAAGCTGGCATGGTCCGGAGGTAGGCAAGACGCTGGGTGCCGCTCAGAAGACATGCAAATTGTGGTTTTGAATATTGGGATTGCCAGGTGCTGGTTTTGACAGGCAAAGTTTAAACAAGAACAAAAATAAACCACGACTGGAACCAGGACTCAAGAAAATCAGGGGCTAAACCAGGACTGCTGCATTTTGTCAACAAAGTCGTAACAAGGGTTTTTTAAAGAACTGAGCAATCAAAGCAAGAACTGGAAATAAACCAGGATTGGACTGCGAGTAAATCAAAAGTAATTCAAGAAAACCTCGGTCTAAACCAGGACTACTGCTTTTTCTCAAAACAAGGATCTTTTCAGCATCAAAACTTAGGTCTTAAGCAACTAAATCAGAAGTCAACCAAGCCAAGAATCAGAACTAAACCAGGACTAAATCAGAACTTAATAAAGAAAACCATGGTCTAAACCAGGACTACTGCATTTTCTCAAAACAGGGAATTTTTCAGCATCAAAACATAGGTCTTAACCACAAACTAAATCACAAGTCAACCAAGCCAAGAACCAGGACTAAACCGGGACTAAACCAGGACTAAATCAGAAATAAACCAGGATTGAACTGCGACTAAACTAGGACTAATTCAAGAAAACCACAGTCTAAACCAGGACTTTCTGCATTTTTTCAGCATCAAAACATAGGTCTTAACCACGAACTAAATCAGAAGTCAACCAAGTCAAGAACCAGGACTAAACCAGGACTTAACTGGGACTAAACCAGGACTAAACTAGGACTAAATAAAGAAAACCAGGGTCTAAACCAGAACCCAAGATTCAACCATGAACCAACTCAGATGTACTTTTTAAACCAATCAAGAATATTTTCATGATTTTTCATTTTTAAAAATTTTATACAAAATTTGAACTCTGTATTTTAAGCAATTCATTTTATTTATTTATTTTTTATTTTTTTGCAGCCTTGACTTCTCCATCCATTACATGCCCTGGTTAGTTCCACCTGCTGCTTGCGGCTAGTGCAGGTGCTTCTCGTGTTTCTGTCATGTAACCCAAAGCCTGCACGATGTTTCATGGTACCGCGGATCACATGACCTCCTTCTTGTATGTTTTTCTCTTCGAACCTTTGCCGTTCGCATGCAGTCTTTCTCAGTAACGCGCTTCACGTCAGGAGGAAGTTAATGACGCGTCTCACATTTCCGTAGCTCCGGTGGCACATTGAAGAGACAGGAGTCCGATTTTGCTTCACCTGCGCTGGCTAGAAAGGTGCTACTGAGCTGCTTGGATGTGGAGATAACTGGAAGATTTTGTTATTCGTACTAGCAAAGGATTCGCAATTTGAAACCTGCCGGAGCTACTTTGCAGACTTTGAAATGTTTGATTGACACTTCCTGGTTCAGTTGCAGTTTTGGTGCTACCTGGTGCTATGAGCAACAACTGGTAAAGAACTGAAGACTTGACACGTTTTTTCTTCAGATATTTCTACACTGTCTTTGATGTTTTCGTATAGAATGAACAGAAATTGGCAAATGATTCAAGACTTAAACATCAACAAAACTAAGACTAGAAGGTGCTACTTCTGAACAATTTTGGAAGAACATTTCGTGGTAGTTTGAAATGACGAACAACTTGATGCTTTAAATGAAGAAAGGACTTTTTATGTACATTTTGTGGTTCAGTTTTTGACATTGTAACTAAAAGAAGATCGCGAACTGGCTGCTGTTGGTAAGCAGAGAAGCACTTAGCGTTGAAGACATGGACAGTGGCTTCTTGGTATCGGGTTTTGTCTATTGAAGATATTTTGGGATCCATATTTCCTGGCTACTTTCCGGTCCAGTTTTGATCGGACCCAATGACTGTGAACTCGGTGCTAACCCCCTCGATGAGTAGCAGCAACAGCATGAGCAGCGGCTACTGTAGTCTGGACGATGAGAGCGAGGACTTCACCTTCTTCACGGCCAAAACCTCCTTCTTTCGAAAACCAAAAAATGCTCCCAAGGTACACAAAATTTTTTTATTATCTGACTTTAGTTTTTGGTTCTCAAGCTTATACCGGTGTATTTTCTTGGCGTTTTGGTATTCATAGGTTTGAGTGATGAATATTTTGAACTGTTGCCATGGTGATTGAAGATTCAAACCAAAATACTGTATGTTTTGAATGTCGCGAAGTCGTCAAGATGTCACCTCTTAGAATAGAACGTTATCAATGGGTTTCAGAATACAAACATACATATTAGGATAATTTCCCTACAAAATATTATATCTTTAAATAGGAAAAGTCCTCAGAGGGTCTTCTTTTTCTTCCCATTTCCTCTTTGAAACTCACAACTCACATTGTAATGGAGATCAAGATGCAGTTATTTCTAATGGTCAGTGATCAGTTTGGGTATTTTTAATGGAAAGGCGAGACGAGGCGAGTTCTCTGCCTGTTTTGGAGCCGAGTTCAGACTTTGGAGGAAAAAATTTGGCTATTGTTTGTGTTCAATGGCCCTGATGAAAAGTCTGTATTGTTTATATTCAGGAAATTGCCATCAGCAAGGTAGAAATTTTGGTTAGGCCCCTTCATGAATTCATGTAGAGAGGTTACACAGTTACGTCTGTTTTGGTACAGTTCTGCATGTAGCTTGTTTGCCAAAGATAAAGTAAATGCAGGAAAACGCTCTGTTCCACCTTGTGATGTCATGTGGTAATACAGGAAGAGCTCCACTGTGTTTTTAAATTCCATAAACCAAGTGTGGAGTAGCCCTGGAATTGCCAATCTCAACCAAATTAAAGGTAAAAGGAGCTGTTAAAATTGAAAACTACAGCTTAATGACTAGGACTGAGCATCATTAAGAAGTTGCCGATACGATACATACCTCGATACATAGGCCACGACACGATACATACCTCAATAACTAGACCACTATACGATACATACCTCCATACTAAGGGCACGATACGATACATATCTCGATACATAGGCCACAATACGATACATACCTCAATACATAGGCCACGATACAATACATATTTTGATACAGTGCATTTTTGATTTGATATGATATATTTCAAATTGATTCGATGTGATTAAATAAAAAATAAATGCTAAATCATGGCTGTGATACTAAAAGTCTTTGTTATACCACTTCTTGTGCAAAGTGAATATGAAACACAAACCAAATGTAAAATGTGTCGCATAAATGAGTTTCTATTCTCTGAACAAACAACAAAACTGTAGCTCTGTAACAAAACAATTTAGTAAAATGCACCAAAAAATACTCTTGGCAATATATCGATACTGCAGCTGACGATATCGATACTGTATCATCGCATTAAATGATACGATATACTGATATTTTAATATTTTTGCCCTATTAATGATATCACAAGGCGGAACAGAGTATTTTGAGATTTCAGATGTAGATAGACTAATAATAAATAATTAGTCAAGCATATATGAATGAAACAAAACACAACTCCTGGTCAGTTTTTGAGGAAGCAACAACACTGTAACATAGTTTAAAGGTCACAAGAGTCAGAACTTTAACCTGTCCACAATTTTCAGAATGATGAAAAATAGATAAGATCATTGTCATAGTGATTAGCAAACAAAACAGTATATCTTCTGAATTGGAAAAGTCCTCAAGACGTTGGCGGAAACACGTGAAAAGAAACCAGGTTCTAGAATGTTGTACTGATGTCACCTGAACACGGCCGGTTTCCTGTTCACATGCACCATTTTTAGGACTTTTCACCATTCGAACGTTAAAATATTTAGTCTGGAAATTTCGATTGCCATGAAAACAGCGCTAACGGATAGGTCAAGTTTTTATTTGTTCAATTCGTAGCTTCTCTTTACTTTTGTTTTTTTCGTGTTGAAATTGGAGCTGATCCAAAAGATGTTAGCGGTGTGAGAAAGCAGAAGTGTGCAGAGGAAGTGGTTGGTTCATGCACAGGGCTGGAGCTTGTGTTGTCAGTCTCTTGTGTAAAAAGTGAACAAGTACGCACTGTAGAGATCTCAATCACGTTTGCTGGGAAGTGGGGGTTTAAAGCCACACTGTGTCACTTTTTAGCCAAATAATAGACTCAAAAATGAAGAAAAACAAGAGTCCTTACTGTGAGCGGGCTTGCATCTTCCATCTCCTCCTGCCGGTTTCCATGGACGTGTTGTTCCTTTGGCAAAGTCAGGTTTTTAGTTTTCTATTCCATGGAAGTTTTACATTAAAACTAGACAGAATGGGAACTTGTCAACACAAACCCTGTCTAAGTCAAAGGAGAAGTTTTGTAGTTCTTGTGAATTTCTAACCTAGGTTATCTACATTTCACAACTGATATTGACTTCCTGATTCCATTTTTATTTTGGAGCAACTTGTGTGCCTGATATTGAAATGGGGGTACTATAAACCAGGACAAAAATGAATCTGAAGAAATAAACCAGGTCTAAGGTTGGACTAAATCATGTCTAAACTCAAATGAAACTTACTTGACCACACAGAACCACACATTTTGACAAAATTTTACAAAGACGTGTGGATCTGAAAAGATGTGCTGATCTCCTTGATTTCAGAGGATGTGATTGACAGATGGATTAACCAATCACGTTGCGTTAACAACAAATACGGCTGCTTACAGTAAAAAAAAACAACAACATAAAGCATGAGAAACGGTGCACATTTTTACAGAATCTACAATCGAAGAACCAAACTCTTACGTATCTCAGGTAAAAGAACTGATATGCTTTGCTCTGAATGTTACGAGATTTTTTTTCATTTGAGAGACACAATGTTGATGATACAAGTTAGTAGCTGTGGTTGGACCGTCTCAAGTTTGGATGGAGGTTTTTTTATGCTCTGTGGTCAGTTTTAGTCTCTTGTGGATTCAAAAGGAATGTAGAAGCTGCTCAGGCAAACATGAAACTCGGTCTAAATGAAGACTAAACTCAAAACAACCCAAACAGGACTAAACTAAAGGCAATCACAAATCTTCTAAACCGGGGGTCTCCAACCTCTAGCTCAAAAGCTACTCTCCATCTCTTTCCAAGAGATTTTGGAATTGTACCAGTGTGCTGAATAACACAAATTTGATCAAATACAAGCTTATTGCTGCCAACTTTGTGCACTATTAAATGGACAATGGTTCTAGACTAAACCAGGTCTCAAAGAAAACCCAAAGAGAACTAGACCAGGACCACACCAGGATTATACGAGGTCACCATAGGTTTCTTGGAGCTCTTTTTGGCCTGTGTACGTTCCTGTGTGTAACCCTGATCTGCTCCTTTCAGCTCCACTTCTTCAGTGTTCATTAGTCAGACCTCAGACACTTCAGCTCAGAGACACTGGAGAAAGCCAGAGTACAGAGATAAATGACTAACCAAACCTAAAGAATTTTTTGTTTTTCTCATGGGTAGGTTCACAAAGCTTGACCAAGTTTAGTCTTGATGTAGACCTGGTTGAGTCCTGCGTTTCCTAGACCTGATTTAGTCCCAGTTCATGTCTCCGTCCCAGTGTGAATGCTATATAGAAATCGTAAGAAGTGTGACGTCACCCATAGCGTTCAGCTCCAGTCAAACGAAGCTCATCGAGGCTGTTGGTTATTAAATCTAAATACCAGGATCATTTGGAGCGGGTTATTATGAACATGACGAGGCTCAGAGCAGCATTTTAAGAGAGAGACGTGGCGTTTTTTAATATAAAGTGAATTGAAGCTGGAGTCGATAGAGATAGAGAAGAACTTTTTACTAATACAGTTAAGAGTTACTGGGATTTGGGCCTGTGATTCTATAATTTGGTACAGCAACAGTCCTCAGAATGGGCTCTTGTTTCTTTTTTTATTCAAATGCAAAAAAACGAGACAGTTTTTATCTCCTTCACTGCCTGTCCCTTTTCGTTATCTGTCTCGTATTTGCTTTGCGTGGGATATGCTTCACTGCTACTTTTGTTCCACTTAAGATACTGTAGGCCTGTGTGATGACTTTTCTGTAGATGCTGTCTCTCCCTCCAATCCCTCTTCTCTGCCTTCCCCTCTCTCCCTTCCATTCTCTCTTTCTCTGCCTCTCTTTTTCTCCCTGCCTCCTCTCTCTCTGTCTTACTTTCACTCTATCTCTGCCCTTATCTTTCTCTCTTGTTCTGTCACTTTCCCGTCCCCTCTCTCTTTCTCCCCTTTCCTCGCTCTCTCTCTGTCTCTCCCTCACTCAGCCTACTTTTTTCTCTGTTCCCTCTTTCTCCCCTTCTCTCTCTCTCTCTCTCTCTCTCTCATTCTGCCTACCTTTCTCCTCTTCCCTCTCTTTCTCTCTCTTTCTCCCCTTTCTTCTCTCTCTCACTCTGCCTACCTTTTTCTCTTTCTCTCTCTTCCCTCTCTTTCTCTCTCTTTCTCCCCTTTCCTCTCTCTCTCTCTTTCTCACACTCTGCTTATGTTCTCCTCTTCTCTCTCTTCCCTCTCTTTCGCTCTCTCTCTCTTACTCTACCTACCTTTCCCTCTTCTCTCTCTTCCCTCTTTCTCTCCTTTCCTCTCTCTTTCTCTCACTTTCTCCTACCTTTCTCCTCTTCTTTCTTGCCCCCCTCTCTCTTTCTCTCACTCTGCCTACCTTTTCTCCTCTTCTCTCTCTTCCCTCTTTCTCCCCTTTCCTCTCCATCCCTCTCTCTCTTTCTCTCTCTCTCTCTGTCTCACACACACACACACTCTCTGCCTACCTTTCTCCTCTTCTCTCTCTTCCCTTTCTCTCTCTCTTTCTCCCTGTGTCCCTTTCTCCGCTGCAGGCTGAGCTCCTGTTGCCATGGAAACTGCGCGCTCATTCAGATACATAACGCTGCTGTACAACTAAAGCCTCGGTCACACATCAGAACTGTGTTTCTGTGTTACTTCAAAAGTGGAAAAGCGGGTCACCTACAAAATGCTTTCATCTGTGTTCCCGGGCTCAGAATCAGCAACATTTAAAGATTCATTATGTAACTTTTCTGGTTGTGCGTTTGTCATCTGATTATCTGATGAAAGTAGTTATGCTTTGGCTAGAATGCTCCA